AAAAAGGCCTATCTACAGTTGAATTCAATGTTTCCTCTCCCCCCCCCCCCCCCCCCCCAGGCATTTGTAAGATCTGAATTAAGTTTAAGTAGCAGGATTCACTATGGGTCAAGTTCATTCGGGGGAAATATTGCAAATGTACTCATCCAAATCTGATAAACAAAAAGTGGTGAGTCTAAGATTTGGACCAATATGCTGAAAGTGAGGAGTTTGGTTGAAGACCTCTTCTTATGGGACCTTGGACAAGGCAAAGTTCATTTCCGGCTGGACCATTAATGCCCAAAAGAGATGTTGCAACCTTCCTCTCCTGATATTAAGCTAAACCTCAGGGTTGCTGACTGTTGGGAGGGAGATCATTGGTCCTTGGACAAAATTTACTCTCTACTGAAGGACTCTTCTACTATAAACATCTCTACTATGCAATTTGATAAGACTAGACAAGACAAAATTAAATGGATAGACATCACCAATCATCTCATCACAAAGTCATATACCTCAAACTTAATAGTTAGAATGATGTTGCATGGGCTGGGGCTATATGGAACAAATTTTTATCCCCCTCTATGTCCTTATGTTGCTGAGGATTTTTTAAAAACTACTTCCAACTGATGTTATTATGAAGATGAAGGGATTGAGAGGCCCATCTAGATGTTATTTATGCAAAGCTACTAAGGATACTATCTCACACCTATTCATTGAATGCAATTTCTCACAACAAGTTTGGAGAGAGCTTATAAATCTGCTTCTGTTGAATACTCTAAATCTTCAATGGCTTAATCTGTTTGATTCCTAGAATAGCTAGAAGGATGTCAAGGCAGGCCCCATTCCATTCATTGTCTTCTGGTTCCTCTGGAAGGAAAAAAACCTAATCAATTTTGAGGAAGATTGTGTCAATGCTAATAAGTTGGCTAGGAACTTTCTTTCTTACCTGCTCAAACTAATCAAGTTTAAGTCCTTCCCCCAGATTTGCACTGTAAAGATGGTAGAATCTATTAAATTGCCCAAGATAATCAAAGTACATTGGAGGACTCCCTCACATCCTTATATCAAGGTAAATACTGATGGAAACTTCTCAAATTTTGGTGCGGGGGTGGGAGGAGTGTTCAAGAATCATGAAGGAAGATGCTTACTTTGGTTCTCTACACTCATTTTGATTGAAAAAAGCTTTGGAGGTTGAATTGATTGCTATCTATTGGGCACTTAAATTGTGCTTCTATGTCTAACTGGTTTCACTTGTGGATGGAGGTGGATTCCATAAACTTGTTAATGCTTTTAAATGACAATGATGCACCCTTCTGGAGACTATCTCAATGGCTGCAGAAGATCAACACTCTTAAATCTTCTATCATGGTCAAAACCTCTTTTGTTTACAGGGAAGGAAAGTGCCCTGCTAACTAGCTTGCAAGAAAAGACCTATCTACTTCTGAAGTCAATGTTTCCTCTCCCCCCCCCCCCCCCCCCCCCCCCGCTTCTTCTTGTCTTTTTGCTTGATGGTGACATGTTAAAGGTTTCACATCTCAGAGTTGTATCTGACTCTTTAATGGAATACAAGCTTTTTTTCCTTTATAACAACTCCATATTCATTAAAGGAAGAACTACAAAACTACAAAAAAATCGTGGGGATCCTAGACAAAAGTGGATCCCACACAAAGACCAACTAGCTAAGAGAAGTTCTAACAAAAGGGAGAGACAAACTATCTCCTCTCTAAAGAAACTCTTGATCATGGCACACCCTATTGCTGAGAAGAAATTTTTCAGAATGCAGCCCAACTCTTGCCAACCAATTTGCTGGTCTATTCTCTTCCCTGAGAATATGGGAAAATCTAATACTCAACCCCATACCCATATTGTAGATGCTAGTAAACCAATAAACCAGGTTCCAAGGACTGCTCAAGAGTCCATTCAGAATATTGATAAGGATAAGGGAATCAGATTCAACCCAAAGCGAGCCAAAGCTTCCTTATACCCAACTTCCTTACAAGGGATATGGCCCAGAAAATGGCCTGTACTTCTGCTTCCAAGGGGTCCTCAGCCATAACTGGAGAATAAAAGAAGAAAAGTCATGCACCATAGCTGTCTCTGAAAACCCCCCCATACCAGCATGAGAGGCAAGGTAACTACCATCAGTATTAACTTTCACTCACTCCAAAGGTGGAGGCGGTCAACAGACCAAAGAAAACTTAGGAAGTTTAGGAGCACACATGGCAGGATAAGTTATAATATCAGGGAACTTCCTGTTCTTGGACAGTTTTTGCATATAGACAAGGCAGTTATGAGCAATCCCATTCACCTCAAGCTTAACCTCCTCAAATTTGATACTATTTATGGCCATCCACACAAACCAAGCAACAATGCAAGGCACCATAAAACATGGCAATCCAGCCAATCCCTCCAACACTGGAAAAAAGTCTCCCAAGACAGCTGTAATGTAGATATCTTGATATCTTAATCTTGCTCAAAATGCTCCTCCAAACTTGTTGAACCACCACACAATTTAAAAGCACATGATGCATACACGTGAAAAAAATTGGCACATCAAAATTGTTTTTAGTGATATTTAAAAAAATGTAAGATATGCTACATTTTTGTGATACTTTAAGATACAAGCTTCATCAACTTTTTTAGCATCCCCTACAAAAAAAATGTTGTATCTGATGGGTTGTATTTTAGACCAAGTTGCCTTATTATTGAAATTATCATTTATTCATACTTTGTAGAGGATTTAACATAAAGAGGGATGGAAATTTTAGAAGCAGTGTGGTTATGTCATCATTTAACTCTACATTTGTAGTGGATTTAAAAATCTAGTTGAAATAACCAAATTGAAAGTCATAAATCCTATAAAACCTTGATTCATGTCTCCTTGATTTCACCTTAATTCCTATTTTATTGAAAAGTGGCTACCAAGTAAGAAAAAATAAATAGGATTTAAACATAATTTAAATTATACCTCCTTAAAAAAGCAAAATAGAAACCATAGATGCAAAAGTATCTTAAATTTAAATTCAATCTCAATAATTTTATCTTCTCATAGAAATAGATGGTAAGAGACATAGAGAAATAAGAGAAAAGTATGCCAGTAAGTATTAGGGTTGCAGGTGCTTGTAGATGCTGGTGAAGAATTTGAGAGAAGGTAATGGAGGTATTATGGGCTTGCGGGTTGTAGGTAGGAGTTGGAAGGTGGTTGCATAAGTGGAAGAGAGAGAGAACATATTTTGTCTCTCTATAAATTAGAGACAATGAGGAAAAGAGAGAGAACGGGATGGTAGATCAAAGTTATTTGTGAGAAAAGTTGGTGAGTTGAGTGTTGTAGTTGTGTTTTGTATAATATTAGCTCATGAGAGAGAGAGAGAGAGGAGAATACCAAAAAGGGCTTGTACTATTTCAAGTTTTGCAGGCAAGAAAAGAAAGGGGTTTTAGCTATTCAGGCATACAAGACACTTTGAAGAGCCTGTTCACAAGAAAGGAGAATAGGGATAAGGCTCGAGTAGAACAGAGAAGCGAGCAGTAGTGTTTCTCTATGGTGTGAGACAGAGGTGTGCATGCGGGGCACAATGAACAAGAGTGGAGGGAGGAATAGTAGGTTGATGCTTTGGGCTCGAGGAAAATTGAGAGCTAGTGTGTTGTGCATAGAAAAAAATGGATGAGATAAATTACAAGAACGAACTATGAAAAAGTTTCATACATGTGTGGTCAATGAAAATGATTACTGATATTCATAAGGTTGGTGAGAGGGTGGTGACGATGGTTAAGAAGCTTGGAGGAATGTTATGTTGGATGAGACTGTCGATTGGATTTGTGTAGGGGACGAGGGTATCTGAACACCTAATTTGCTCCAAGATCCTACTTATTTGGAAGTCATTTGAATCAAGTTAGTTTCAAAATCACATAGAAATCCTTTCTGATTTGTTCATGAATCACAGAAAAGAGCATAAAAGAGGAGAGAGAGAGAGAGAAGAATGAACTGTAGTGAATAATAAATCGTGTCAATCTTGTTGACTTTTCCCGACCTTTTTTTTAGCTAAAATTGGCTATCCTTTGTTCATAAAATGATCTCTCGATTTATAAATGAGAGAGTAAAATATGGTGATGTTATATTTTTGACCTCGTGTTAATGGGGATTGTACGAGATATTCTGGGTATTTTACATATATGAGCTTATCTCTCGTTTTCTTTTTAGCTTAATCGCGACTAAGCTTTATTGGCTTCAGATCACCAGGACTAGTTTGATCGGTTAAGCTTGGTCAGCATTGCCAATTGCTCATTTAGTGTAGCTTTCAACCCCTTATCCGTGGTGAGGAATTCATGTTGGTAGAGCGATGCCAAAATATCGAACAGATTTTGAATCACCTAAAATTGATTGGTAGCTCGCTCTTCAACGAGGAGATAACTACAAGACTCTTTGTCATATTGTTAATTCTTGATTTTTAGTGAGAAACCTCTGAGGAATCGACTGCAAGTTTTCTCAAATAAGAACTACCGGAAGGTAGCCTAATGTATTGGGTCGGGTCACGTATAGTGGTTGACTCAAATATGTATTTATCTCATTTCAGTTCGAGTAGTTCAGGCTCGAATCATTTAGTAGTTTTTTTGTCCACCATGTAGCTAAGTCAAATTTGGCTTTAGCTCAGTTGGTTGTATCAAGTTGGATAAGTGAGCTTCATAGTATTATGTCGGTAGGTCTTCTTTCGTTGTACTCTCATCTTTTAGATTGTTAGATCTCTTCATCAAAAATAGTGCCAACATAATTTCGATTTACAAATGTATTTCAATTTAATTCATGGCAAAGAGTTAAAAATAAGAAGCATAGGAATACTATGCGCTCTTTTTCAGCCGAATGAAAAGCGCTAATTTAATCGTTTAATTTTCAAGTCCAACGGTTTTCAGTCGTCAAAATCACTAGGAGTCCGATTAACCTCGTCCAAATAATATTTAGCTACAAATAAAAAAAAAAAAGCTACCACAACAAAGACCGAGCCCTGCTCAGCGTGGCCACACGAACACCGCATAATTTAACGAGATAGAACCCACATATCTGCCAGTTGCTTTCTAGTGCCTGCTTCCTCTTGCCTTCTCTCTTTTCCTCCCTCTCCACTCAGTCAACGCCGCCGCCTTCTCCTCGAAGTCATTCAGGGCAATAATGGGTCGGGAGGTTTTGCTTCCTCCCGACCCCTGTTCTGAGTAAGACCAAGGAAGGAGAATAAGCGTCTCCACTGCTCAACTTATTTGTTTCTCCTTGATGCTGGCGATGGGGGAAAAAGGTGTCAACTCGACGGAACTTTGGATTTTCCGCAGATTAGGCATAGCGGGGCCGTGGCGTTCGCGATGGCGAAGGTGGACTCGCCCGCTTGGTGGTGTCATCCGCTCCTCAGGTCTCATCGCCTTCCTCCTCGGGTACTTTCTGGCTTGCAGCATCGTGGCGATCCTTTTCTTCCGGCTTTGGGTTTCTTCCTTTCTGACGGATGATTTGGTTTCTGCTGGCTGCCGTCCGGACGGGGAGGGATCGTGGTCGATTGGGATTTTCTACGGGAAGAGCCCCTTCTCGCTGGCTCCCATTGAAATGGTATTTGAACTTGTTTGAATTGTTTATCATGGTTCTATTTTAAGGCCAGTTTAGATATTCTGTGCTGTGATGGCAGTCAAACAGGAGTAACGAGAAAAGCTCGGCCTGGCCAGTTGCGAATCCTGTGCTCACGTGTGCTTCTGTCTCCAATGCTGGTTATCCCAGCAATTTCGTTGCGGATCCTTTTCTTTTCGTTCAGGTTGGAACTCTTCTTGTAGGTTTGTTTCTATAGGTCAGGAATTAAATTTTGAACTTTTGCAGTCGAGTTCTATTATAGAATTTGTTAGCTGCAGTTTTACCCGTTTCAGAAGTAAAAAAAAATGACAAGATAAGACTTTCTACAGAAACTGCGAGTTCTGGGTTGGATTCTTTATCGTTTCATATATATATCATGTCCATCAAACCTCTCCACTCTAAAAGATGCGTGGATTTTGATAACTAAATCTGAATTCATTTCTATACGCTGGTTTTACTTTGGACTGTCTTTGTCTGAACTGGGTTAAACATATGCTAAACTGAATTGCTAGCAACCCTGGATATCGTCTTGATGGCTTCTCACACTTCGGACCAAACTTCTCCTTGTTATGTGCATGCATCTATTAAGAAAATTCAAATTGCAATTATTTGCTGTGCTATAATGCCTTTGTTTTGAATTGCTACAAAGATCTGTTTTGCTTCTTTCTGGTATGCAAACTTTTCTTCATAAACTAGTTTTTACTTTTTTAATATTTCTCATGCACCTGATTTGGTAGGAATTTTAATAATTTTCTATGTAACTATAACTTTTTTTCTTAACGTTTGGTTGCAAAATTTGAAAGATGTAAGTAGCTTTCAGCTTGTTTTTAGGAAATCTGATTTTTTGTTTTTTTTTTTCTTTTGTGAATACCCATTTCTTCATTTTTATCCTGATATATTTCTTATGTTTTCATCAGGACAATACATTTTACCTCTTCTTTGAAACAAAAACGGTGGCCACAATGCAAGGTGATATTGGGGTCGCAAGAAGTTTGGATCAAGGTGCTACATGGGAATTTCTTGGCATTGCTCTAGATGAAGCATGGCATCTCTCTTATCCATATGTTTTCAATTACCAAAATGATGTAAGTTGTAAAAATGTATTCTACTTAGTACTTAAATGAGAAGCACCTCGAAATAGATATGTTTTCCATTTCTAGTACTCTTTTGTGCTTGCTAATTGATATATTTTGCTTCATGATAGGTTGGATGAGACTTGCTAATCTATCTTGCTTATAGATATGGTTTTCATTTTTGATTGATTGATGTTGTTCTCTCTATGGATACCAAGCTAGAGCCTCCCCTTTCAAAGCCATTGCCATCAGTTTTTCTTCTTCTGTCAGCCATTAATATCAAAGTATCTCTCCATGTGATTAACCCAATTATAAGTATCCTGTCCTTCAGTTCGACATCTTCAACTTTCTTATGCATGAATCTCCTCCCTAATTTCCACGAACGAAGTTCATTCCACCTATGAAGCGAGGGTTGGGTTCCCTTTCTCGACCCATATTGATTTTCCCTATTTTATAAGTTTAGCTCGCCACATAATCAGCTCGCTTGCCTGCATTGGCTCTCAAATTGTCTTCCGTTCAGAAGGATACCACAACAAAAAAACTGGCACGGTTGGATGCAACCTTTTGCTGGTGTTCCACCCATCGTGGTTTCCTATTCTAGGAAAAAATCCTTCAAAACGATCTTCTCCCATTCAAATCGCATGCTGTCTCATTCCCGCTTGCTGTTGATTGTTCTAGTCTTCTGAATATCATGTTATTCCCTCCAAGTGCTACCGCTCCAATTTGCTTCTAATTCCTTTACTTAATCCCACTGTAGGCTACAACAGCTTTGTGTGGAACTTTGTGATCTACTTTATCATTTCTTTCAAGGTTATAAATTTTCCCTCAATGGTTGAAAATCGCCCCTCTATTGAAGAGAAACACTCATCCATTTCTCATCCTGATTTGACTCACCTCTTCCTCCAATTTCTCATCCAGATCATCTATTTTCTTTGTCGCCATTACTCACAAGACGATTTTTTATCACAAAAACAAAACCCATGTACACTGAAATCCCATTGTCACTTCCTAGCTAGCTCTCATCGCGAATTTATCACAATTAAGTGATCCCGAATCACTTCAATCCCGTTGTCATTTCCCAAGTAGCTTTTATCGCTACTATATCATAAGCAGATCATGCATCGCTTTCTAGCTAATTCTTATTGCGATACCGTTGGGAAGCCACCAAGATCACAAGGGATGCGTAAATCACAGTGAGCTCAAGCACTAGGTTTGGCATGGTACTCTTTTAAGCTGCGATTCTATTCGATCATGTTGTGGAATTTCTGGACATCACTGTCCCTACTGCGTGATCTGTCTGAGACGTGACTATGAAGATTCTAATACCAATTTGATAGGAATGGAGATATGGCTGTAAATTTAGCTCGAAGATTGTTAATCGCTCGAAGATTGATTCAAATTTTGGCTCGGATCGAGATCTAATCGAAATAAACGAGCTGAGCTGCAAACCAAAATTTTGAATTGAATTTTTTTCGAGCCTGTTTTGAGCCGACCCCGACTCGGCTCGAAATCGGATTGTTAACAACATATGACTGTGAATTTAGCTTTAAGATCTTTAATCGCTCAAAAATTGATTCAAATTTTGGCTGGAATCGGGATCGGATCGATTTTTTTTTTAGCCGATTTTGAGCAGACCCCAGATCGGCTTGAAATCAGATCGTTAACAGCCCTCAATGGCAATGAATTACCTTCGCAAAATCAGGGCAAATAAAATTTCTTTATTTACCAACACAAAACATCATGACTCGAATGCATAAAAAATAAGTACCTACAGTTCGAGAGTAGGCGATCTCTCCCAAAATCCTAATCCTAATACTCAAAAATAACAATCTCATCTCGCCCTAACCCTAACCTATTAAACCCTTTTTATACTAAACAATAATAAATAACAAAAGATTAAACTGCTCGTAGGCGCTAGTGTGATAGGAATTTATTTTGTAGGGATCTTAGTGTTGGACAACTAAAAGTATCGTTGGTTGTCAAGAGCTAAGTTTAATAACATTGAAGAAATTTGAGAATGGTAAAATGAATGTGTGGAAAGTTTGGAAACCTAGATGGTTTATATTAGAGTATATTAGAGGATGGTGGGTTTATATATTAAAGAGTGGGCATCAAACCTAGATGGTTTGCACATGGACAAAGGAGGTGAAATTTACTCGTAAGCTAGAGATAGAAATAAACAGAGTTAAGAATTAAGAAGATAGAGGATTAATCCAAGGTAACATTTATTTTTGTTTGAAACAATTTTTGAATTGTTGTTGAATTCCTCATAAAACACAACACACACGGATATTGAATGAGGATTAGTTAAATCTATCCTTAATGAGTAAGGTAAGGCAATGATGGCATATGGCATAACATACTGCAAGTGATTTATGTTCTTTTAGGATATATTTGTTTCACCGTATATCACCAGAAGTGTGAGAATAAAATGGATAGTTGTGATTTTATCATATAGGATTTCTAAGTTTTTGTTATTACTATTAATGGAGGACAGTGTTTTTGATGTCCGTTGGTATTAAGAATAGTTTAATCATAGGCCAACCTTTACACGCGGTAAGTTTTCTAATGTCAATCAGGACCCATCGAGAGGTTGGCTTATGCATAGATAATGTCAGTCAAAATTAAAGGAGGCGTCAATATTAGATTTGATTAAACGAAAACAGCATAAGGCATCGAATTCATGCCACCATAGAAAAAATTTGACTTAATATTCCAAATCAAAAGTTGTGAAAGAGAGTCTGATATGGGAAAAAGAAAAGTCATCAAAAGCTTGCTGCAGATTTACCTCTTTCTGATTTTTGAAAAATCAAATGTAGTTATCCCAAATTCTTTTTTCTTCCACCACAAATAGCTGAAGGTTCTTCGCCCTCAATTCCTTACCTTTGCTTGTGAAGTAGCAACTGAAATCAATGACTAATTTGGAAGTGTTAAAGCATCGTATTAGCTGCAATACTTGGTGAGCTATGAAAGAAAGGTTTCCTCCTTTGCAAGTGATTTCGTAACACTAACAGCTAATCTTTAGTGCTAATATATAAATATTTGATAAATTGCCACTAGCGGCGGCTTGGGGGGAATGCCAATGGCAACAACAATGAGTAAAGGCTTGAAGGAGACTAACTATGTTAAAACCACTGAAGAAACTGGCGGCTTAGCTTTGAAATTGAGAGTCGAGGCAAAATATGGAGTTTTGTGATACTGGGAAGATCTGATTCCCATGGTTTTTTGCTTAATACATTGTTACCCGCATGGTCCATAGTCCATAGTTATCAAGATCTTGAATTTGATCTTTACTTGTACCAAAATAAATTCTTATTTTGCAATTACTATAAAAGTATTGACCATTCAACTACCTGTATGTCTCACTTGGCAATGACAAGGGACAGGAAATACTTGAGAATAATTTTTCTTTGTATGTGTGCATGTGTGTGTCTATGCACATATTTCTTATGAAATCTAACTTGAGTGCTGGAACAATGAAACTAACATATTACCAAAAGGTCTTTTAAAGAGGCTGTACATAATTGCATCAGCTCTGTAACTAGGCAAGATTTCCTTCCAACTCCACAAATATGTAGATTTCTTAGAATATCAATACTAGTATCAGCGTTTTGGATGGGATCTCATACTTCTTCTACTGTTGTTTGGCTGACATACCAGTAACTATCTGTTTTTTGTACTTAGCATGAATTTATATCATTTTTTTGTTTTTTTCCCCGATGCCAATGAAATCTATTTACGTTGTTTTTTCACGTCAGACATATATGATGCCCGAGGGCAGCAAAAATGGGGACCTTCGGCTTTATCGAGCTACTAAATTTCCACTCGAATGGACATTTGAGAAGGTTCTTGTGAGTAAACCACTCATAGATACATCGTTGGTTCACTTTAATGGATATTATTGGCTCTTTACTTCAGATTTTACTAGGTTAAGTGTAGAGAAGAATGCGGAGCTTGAAATATGGTTCAGTAACTCCCCGCTTGGCCCATGGAAAGAACACCGAAAAAACCCTATATACCAATCTGACAAAAGCTTGGGGGCACGAAATGGAGGTCGTCTTTTTGTTTACGAAGGTTCTCTCTATCGTCCTGGTCAGGATTGTAGTGGGACTTATGGTCGAAGGCTCCAGATATACAAGGTAGAAAGGCTAACTGAACAAGAATACAAGGAGGTGCCAGTTTCATTTCCCATTGGAGAAACAAAAAAGGGCAGGAATTCTTGGAATGGTGTTAGACACCATCACCTAGACCCAAAACAGCTCCCTTCAGGCACCTGGGTTGCTGTTATGGATGGAGATCGTGTTCCTTCTGGTTATTCAACAAGGACTTTACTCCTTGGCTGGACATTTTTAATTCTGCTTTTTCTTCTGGTTATGTTCATTGGACTATTGATTGGTGTCTTGGATTGTATTCATCCTCAAGGAAATTATCTGATCATTAGTCGAAGAAATGAGTCAATTTCATTTTGGGCAAATCCCCACTCCAAACTTAAGAGGTATGCTGCAGTCATAAACAGATTCATTCTTTCACTCAAAGGCAAAGCAAAGCTGAAAACTTGTCATGGAAAGCTCACCATCAGCCTCCTATCTATCATTGGCATGGTTCTAGTCTGTATGGCTGTTCAATATTTATATGGAGGGAATGGTGCTGAAGAGGGCTACATGTATAAAGGCCAGTATTCCCAGTTTACAATGCTTACAATGACTTACGAAGCCCGCCTTTGGAATCTAAAGCAGTATGTGAAACATTACTCTAGATGTGCTTCTGTTAGAGAGATTGTAGTCGTTTGGAACAAGGGAAAACCTCCCGTTCAAGGAGAATTTGACTCTGCCGTGCCCGTCCGAATCCGTGTTGAGCAACATAATTCTCTGAATAATCGGTTTAAGGATGATGGTCTTATACGAACCAGGGCTGTTCTTGAACTCGATGATGATATATTGATGACTTGTAATGACATAGAAAAAGGGTTTAGAGCCTGGAGAGAGCATCCTGAGAGAATTGTGGGGTTCTATCCTCGACTACTGGATGGAATCCCTTTAAAATATAGAGATGAAACTTATGCTAGGAAGAAAAATGGCTACAATGTCATATTAACTGGTGCAGCTTTCATGGATGTTGAGCTTGCTTTCAAGAGATATTGGAGCGAGCAGGCAAAAGAAGGAAGAGCGCTAGTTGACAAATTATTTAATTGTGAAGATATACTAATGAACTTCTTGTATGCAAATATTAGCTCTATGAGGACCGTTGAGTACATTCATCCTTCATGGGCTATCGACACTTCTAAATTTTCCGCTTCTGCCATTAGCAGAAACACGCAACAGCATTACAATATCAGGACAGAGTGTTTGTCGAGATTCTCCTCTATATATGGTTCTCTTCCTAAAATGGGATGGATGTTTGGAAGTAGAGAGGATGGTTGGGATGCATAAGATTGAAGTTAGAGAATCGAAGCTCATAATATTAGATAATCTTTATATTAAGTTTCTAAGTATAACAGGTTGTGAGAGGCTTCATTGCCATGCAAAAAGGTGCATTGTTTGTGGATTTTGTGCGTTGTGTTGTAGTTTATATGAGCAGGTGGTATTTAACCTTGTAGAACTATGCAAATTTTTTTTTTTTTTTCACTATTTTGTGTCACTATTTTGTGTTGTAATTATTTATGATGAACAGTTGCCTCCTAAGAAGGGAACTTCTACAAGAAAATTTTATTCATGTTTATGTAAGATGATGAGCATGTGTCGAGTTAATAAACTTTTGGGGGTGGATTTGAGGCTGGTTCATAAGTCTGGTTGTACTTTTTTGATTTTAACTGGATCAAATTTTCAGTTTTCATTTCTGTTATGTAGTTAATAGTCTATTCTCTCTTGTTTCTGATTTTACACTTATTTAAATCAAGCTGCCTTTTATCCATAAGGAAAAAAATGCCCAATTTTTTTAAGGTTTTTTATCTCCTTACTCCTGTTCTGGATGCCAAAGTTCATAGTATCTTGCTTCATATCGCGCTTATCATTTCAAGAGAAGTTTCATGATATATAAATAGTAAAATTTTCGTGTTAAATATTTAGATCTGAAAGTTCATAGTATTGAGGGTTATATCTACGTTATACCCCCTGTAATTTTCCTGTAACCTACCTATAACATACATGTAACTATTAAGTTTTGCGCTTCTGTTTTTATATATGTTTAAGTTACAGGTAGGTTACAGGGAGGTTACATGGGTATAACACAGATATAACTCTCAATATTTTCCCTATAACCTACCAGATATACGCAACGCTGCGTACATCTTACGCACACAAATCTCTCCATAAGCAGAGCAGCGCACATGAAACCCTCTAAAACTCAATAAAATCTAATTTTAAATATAAATTATATAATATTTTTCATTATAACTATGTAAATTGCTATTACGTTTTTTTAATCATCTCCATGGCATGTAAAATATTTTCCAACACAACAAACGATTTAGAATAAATTCTGAATTTTCACCATCTTGGTATCAAATATATATTGGTACCTTATAGTGTGTGTTTTACTAAACATAGTGAAAAATAATTTTAAATTAATAATCATTTTGTACTCTCTGACCAGGGCCTTCAATAGATCTTTTTTTGATCTTCTAAGAAAAACTATGATCTACCTACTACATTGGCTTACTTACAGGTCAAATTGAAATTAATCCTGATCTGAATCTGAAACAAATGAAGTCAATAATTTAGGTTTTTTTTTTTAATGAAGAATGATAAATTATAAAATATATCAAGTGAACTTCTGACATCAAAGATCCAATCTTCACCTTCCACCAGTTCAATAAGAATTCTTTCAAATTAAAAAAAAATAAATACTCGAAGCTTTTAGACAATCACAAACATTTAGAAATTGATATCAAAGAATTAAGCATCAAAAGATGACCACAAATTTATTTCATGAAGATTCTAATTGACCATCTACTTAAAAAACTTCAATTTCCTGTACTACTTCAGAAAATGTTCATCAAAATGAAACGAGAAGAGACCCAACAAAAAAGACAATTGTTGATAGCCTAAATTCATGCAAACCATGTCATCTTATTTCAAGTCATGGTTGCCCTTGCTCTTATATACGCTTGCATTGGATAGCGCTTGTGCGTAGTAAGCTGCACAGTATCTATATTCTCCTCCTCTCCATCCTTCAACTTCCAATGGAACTCCTGTATTAATCTTCCAATAGCCGTGCAGGAAATTAGCATTGCCAGAGAAGAGCCCGCGCACACTCTTTTTCCCCCTCCAAAAGCCATTGTCTTGTGCATATCCAATTGCTCATACTTGTCCGACATGAATCGCTCAGGTTTCCATGCTTCTGGTTCCTCCCAATCACACTTGTCCATGTTGCATGCATATAGGTTGATGATGATCTGTGAGAGATTTTTGGAGTTGAGCAAAGCTAAAAGGAAAATATATTTTGTGCGAAGTAAATGAATTGCAGGGATCATTTGAATGTTTATTGATAGAAAACAAGTTTTAGGGAAAAAAAATATTATGTTTTCACTCTTTTTTTGTTAGAAGAAGAAGGCCTACAACCAACAGAATGATAGAATCCAACTAATGTTATCATTTCTTAAAAATTTAGGGTTCATTAGGTTGCTTGAAGTTTTAAAAATGTGCTTTTGGAAAACAATCAGTAGCCATATCCCAATTATTTATGGTCAGCATTATGAATTTTTATTTTTTATTTATTCTTATTACTTGTGTCTAATGAATTAAACCTATCCTTGGCAAATCATTTTATACAACTTCTGTTCAAGTCATTTTCCTCCCTAATCTTCTGAGATTAAATTTATTTACTCTTCTAATGTTCATTTTCAACCTGGCATATTCAAATCCAAAAAATCAAGTGTAATTTCAATTACCAAACATTAAAAAGTTTCATGCTAGTTAGTCACTCAATAAAATCATTGCTCAAGTTATCTATCCTAATTTTACCAAATTTGTTTTAAGGTTCTCATTTCTATCAAACTCAACTTGAACATTAATAAAACTTATAGTCTAACCCTTGTATTTATTCAATATCATCCAAGTAATTATAGTTATTTTAAATTTACCTTTTGAAGTCTCAATGATACCATTTTACTGCATACAGCACTTCTCTAAACTAACCACCCAACCTAACGCAATATAGGTGATATTCTAATAGATCCAATGATACCACCTAACCTCATTCGTCTCTCTAATAGATCCAAAATACTTACATGATACCTGGTTATAAAGATTTTTAAAAATTTTCTTTGTTAAATCGATTATTTAATTTAATATAATAGACATCAACACTAATTTCAAATACAACCTCCTCAAAACTCCCTCAAATACAATGATTTATTTTTCACCCAAAATGATAAAAAACCTATCATTTTTTAAAATATATTTCTTGCTTAAGAGCAACCAAATGAACCCTGATAAACAACCAAATAAGCCCTGCCTACAAAACTAAGAAAAAAAAAAGAAATTTACATACATACCACACAAATTTACATGTCTAACACCTAAAGTTTGATATTTACACCTATATCACCTAGTGTCACAAAACTATGCATGAAAATGCGTATTTCACTTTTAAAAAGATAGTCATTGTAGTATTTTTAATGTGATGTTAAAAATTTGAGTGGCATGTATGTAAACATGAATGTTTAGGTGTAAGATATGTAAATTCAAATAGATTGTGTGCTGTGTATGTAAATGCTTCTAACGAAAAATTTATTAAACAGAATTCTCACATCAGTCCCAGCTGGAATGTTATAGCCACCGAGCTGGGTATCTTCATGCACATGTCTAGGAGGTATGATGGGCACAGGAGAATGAAATCTGAGTGTCTCATGGAAAACAGCACATAGATAAGGCAAGTGTTGAATATGCTCCTCAGTGATTTTCTTTGACCCGCATACTTGATGTATTTCCTGGTAAAGGCAGTCCTGAGTTGGGAAAAGATGAATATGAAAACTCATGCCAACTTTATTTAAGCAATAAATTTAAATATTTATGTTGCTTACCTGGCATGTTTGATTCTTCGAAAGCTCATACATGGCCCACTCTGTAGTGACCAATGTGGTGTCAGATGTCTCGATGATCGATTCCCAAACCAATGTAATGAACTGCTCTTCAGTTAGTTTAGTATCTTCTGACAGCAAGTAATCCACATAACAACTAATTTTCTGTTTTGGTAATAAAAAATGTCAAAGTCATTAGAAAAATGTGGGTACAAAATGGAGTTCATTTGAAGAAAAGGAACCTCTCCACGAGCAATACGTTGCCTTTGTTCCTCAATCAAGGCCTTTGTTATAGCCCTCTTACGTGTTTCTATCTGCTGAATTTTTATTTCCATGCTTTTATTAGGAACCCATCTCAAATATGGGAAGAAATCCCTCCAATCAACTTCGATAGCTCCCATCATTGGATCAACAACTAAGCTCTGAAAAATCTCTTTCTTTGTTGTTGTCACGCCAAGTTCCTCCACGTAAATGGACTCCACATCTTTGCCTAAAGTCTGAAGATAATTTGTTAGCATGAGTGCGTAAACAGCTATAGAATAAAACCAGCGATTCATTTAAGCCGAATGGATTTTAAGAATAAGCACTCTTTTGGTTGGTGGGTTCCACTCTTTTATAAAAGACGTCGAGAAGCTGCTGTTGCGCAGTCATTTTATCAAGTGGCTTAAAATTTACTTCCTGAAAGCAGCTTTTTATAAAAAAAGTCTCACAAATGAGGCTCAGCAATTTTTATTCTGTCGGGAAACCTCCTCGCTCTTAAATAAATCAGTGACTCAACATAGCGCTCAAGAGCACTAAATCCTTAACATGTTTATGTCATCACTTGCTTTGTTCGTCTCTTGATTCTCTTTCATGGATACAACAAAATGTAAATTATGAAACTCAACTTGATTCAGAGAGTATTGAGACATATTTCTTAGCATAATGCTAAGAACATTTTATTTTGAAACTTTGTGGGCTATAAATAGAACTACACATAAAATTTATTAAATATTGACAATTAACAATAAAATTTCAAGTTTTCTCAACTTTTGTATGTGCCATTTGGACGTGTATTATTCAAGCTTTGTGCAAGACTTGCGGTTTAAAAAGATGCCTGAGGTGCATGCTTCGAGGCACGGCTCATGCTTTGATTCCCAAAAACTTCCATGAGGTTTACAAATTTATAATTTGAGTGCCTTGAGGTTTAAAGAGAAGTTTGATGTTTGGATTCTTTCCGGCCAGCCACAAAAGTCTGTTTTTTGGCTTCTTGATACCATTTCTTACACAGAAGTGGCGGACATAAATCTATCCAAGATTTGCTTCTTGGTCTCATTGTTGCCAACACATTCAAAAAGGTATAGAGAAGACACAAGACTCATCCTAAATAAAGAGAAAGGGAGAGAAATTGAGAACATACCAATCAAATGCCCATTGGTTGTCACTCCAAATCTCCTCCTCTTCCTCTGGGTGAAGTCGTTCTTGATGTTAAAGGTCTTGTGAATCTCTTCAGGAGTTTACCCCTTAATCATAGCTACCATAGTTTGGTAGGTCAAATCAAGCAGGCCTTTGATGTTCAGATAGTTCACTGCTAGAATAAGATCGAACAGCATAGCCAGATCAACCTTCACAAAATTGGAGTCTCAGCCCTTGAGATCCTCTTCCGTGGTCTTCTTGAAAACTGAATTTATATCTTTAGCAGATTTTGTTTCAAGAACCAGCAAACCTGAAGTTTTCAACACCTCGGGGGATATAGCTTCCACAACAGTATCAGCTGTGTGGTTTGTCATGAATTTCGCTTCAAGAAATAACTACTCCGAATCTGTTTTCTCTATCTCAAAGTCTCTGCCAGACACATTTAATTGACATGATGAAGTTTTTGACAAGGGAATCACTCGGGAATCAAAGAACTATTGCAAGAATTAATCACAAATTCATTTTGAATCTAATCGAGGCAAATGTTCAACAGGAGATGAAGAAGAATGATGAGCAGTCCAGGCAATTTGTCCACATCTAGCAACAGAAAGAACCAGTTGCTGTATACTTGAAAACCATCAAAGAGAGGATGGTGTGCCATTCCCACAAGCGCTGCGGCCTTACATGTGCGATAATAAATTTCTGCCTCTCAAGAACAGCAGAAGGTTGTTTTTGAAGGAAGCACAAATTGGAATAAAAAATCTTAACCTCTGATACCAAAATGATGACGGCAAAAGGTATGTGTTCAGAAAATCAATGAGATAGAAAGAAAATGCAAAGAACAAAAAAATTTGGGAACAATAAAAGCAAAGAAACAGAACACTAAATAAAGATACAAGATACAAGAGTTCCATACTCTTGTAACCGATCAGCATACAAAAATCACTACCTAAAGGATCGACGAAGGAAAGAAAACCAAGGATGACACCACCAACGACGCATATTACAATTTCCACCACCCAACACGTGGTCGGAGATTCGTCCTCATCTGGGAATCAAATCCCTTACAAACCTCAAATGAGCCGCAAATAGTCCACTAATACAACATACGACCACCTATTTATAAACATGAAGGAGCCACTTATTACAAGTGTACCATCCAAATAGAAAACATATAAAAATAGAAAACTAAAACATAAAAGCTGAACTTTAACATAATATAGATAACACTATTTACTAGATCACATAACTCAGATCACAACTAGACATACAGTGTCAATTGCACTCTTTGTGTGAGGAGTATGCCTCATGGTGTTTTAGATGATGCATCACATTAATACCTAAAAAAAACTATTGTTATATGAACTATCTAATATAAATTATATCCCAATACTAGTGGTACAACAAAAAAGGGGGAGAGAAATTTAAAATAAATAAAAAATCATAATAAATATTTCTACCCCACAATCCCGTAACTGTTCCCAATGGAGTTTTGCATCTCGCTATTTCCTTCTTTTTTCAACATAACCAAGGGACACGAGTGTTGAATCCTATATTGTCCTTTGGTAAGACACGCCTCGAGAGTTAGAGTCGGGAGATGAGGAAGAGAGATAGAGTAGTTGCGATCGGACGTCCTTGCAAAGAGTTAGGTAGCTGAGACCGTAACCGTGGTCTGCCGATTGGATCAACCGACATTGCATGCCAACTTGATCGAGTGGTCGGTCGTCGGATGGTTGGTTCATATCATGCTCCTTTAATCTGATGCTTCGATTGTTCGACCATCATTCTTTGCCGCTTGATCTCTTTGAGATTTGTGCCGCAGTTTTGGTGCATACATATTAGTTTCTCGAGTTTTCCTACTTCTTGATAGTGACGGCTACAATAAGAACATGAAAACTATTAAGCAATCATTGACACCAAAATAGAAAAAAATCTTTCGATAATTAACTTTTCTTTGAATTTTACGCCCAGTGAGCCCTATAAATAAGACCATAGGTTTGGCATTAAGTTCTTTCGTGCCAACTTTTCCTATATAGCCGACGCATATCATGGCTTACAGTACGAACTGAGATGATGTGGATCTCAAACTTCTGGCTATGGCAGGCTTTCGAATCCCTGTATCTGTAAAGAAGAAAAAAAATCATAAAGAAAGAAGAACGGTTGAGACCTGCACCTGTTTCGGCCAATCAAGAGTGGCAGATACTGAAAAAGCCTCACCAGGGAACCCTGACTCTTAGGCCTGATAAGGGTTCGATTGGTTGAGGGCCAATAGGGCCATATTGCTTAAGGAATTGAGGTTGGTGAAAAGAGGCCAAAGGAAATGACCATCACCAGCACTCCAACTCTCCCCAGTCGCCACCACAGAAAAATGTAGGCACCCTATTGTGAGGGAGAGACACACTTTTGAAGACCCTTTCTTCAATGGACAAATTTTTAGGTATGTGATAATCTTCTTTGATTCTTGGCGATTTTTAGTAATTTCTGATATTATCTTAATGCAAAAGAATAGGTTTGAAGGGTTTAGGGTTTAGGGAATATCAAAAGATGTTGTCGAATCCGCTCCCACTATCGCTGTCGGGCCGCAAGGTGTGCTCACCGCGCTTCCACCATTGGTCGATGCAGGGGGTAACAGCCACTCGATCCTTAGTGGACTCCAGCAGGAGCAGTATGACTGGCAACACCTTTCCTCTGAATTTTGTGGAGCGGCGAACAAACGTAATTGGACCTTCGGCATGAGAGGTCGGTCCTTCAGAGCAAGCGGCTGGAGGTTCTTTTGAGGATTTGATGCGGGAATTGTCAGCCTGCCTGACAACCATACGGACTGGTTCCTCTTGATGGCGGCACGAGCATCTCACTTTCAGGGACTGGCTCTGGTTATGTCGGAAGGGTCTTTGAACAAGGCCCAACTGAAGATTGCCTCTCAGGATGAGGAGCTGGGGAGGGTTCGTGACGATCGGAACCAACTGTAACTCAAACTTGAAAATTCTCTCAAAGCTAATCAAGAATCCCTTGACATCATAGATGACTTGAAGAAGGAAGTCGTAGAGCCAAAGAAAAGGTTGCCCCGTCTATTTCCAAGGGAGAGCATAAGGACGACCTGGCGAAGCAACTTAGATGTGGGGTGGACTATGCCATCCACCGATTCATTCACCATGGCCTTGTCACTCCCAAATTCTCCGACACAGACAAGTTGTCCGCCTTAATTCCGAACAAGCTCGAAGGATACTCCAAAGACGAAGGATCGGATAGGGAAGACCGGCCGGCCACCTGCTAAAACCTGGCATGAGGAAAACTTGTAATCATTTTTCTTTTTGAAAAGCCAAAGGAAAGAGATACTTGTAGCTGCTTTTATTGTATAGAAAAGATTTATTAGTTTTTGTTTATTTGGAATTTGCTCTGAATCGATTGCGACTCGATTAATTGTGCGCTCATCTCGCAAGTGAGTTTATTTTGCTTCTCCTGTTTGGTTGGATTGTCGCCTTCAGAGAGACTCGAGTTTGAGGCGATCATTGTGATGTGTCACGTATCTTGTCGCTGGAAAATGTTTCGATCAACCTTAAGGCTAAATCATGAATCTCAGATATTACGTAATTTCACGTCGAACGACTGTTAATTTTAAGGGTTTGTTTAACTCGAATTGTCGATTGGTAGTCAAATCATACTTTCAAACATTGTTCATGTTGTTTGACTAATATATATCGACTGATTAGTTTACTCGGGGGCCTAAGTGTCCAAGGAGGGTATTTTCTCCGAGTTGGGTGTCGAACGCAACATCAGAGAAGGTGGAATATAGAGTTCATCCCACCTCACAAACAGACGTAGTGTCCCATGGAGAAATATTGCACTAGTAATACATTCTGAGAGAGTGCAATAAGTCCATTCAACAGCTGTGGTTTGAAGTCCGGTCGATTCTTAGGAGCTATTTGGGGTGTGGGGGGTGGGGGTGGGGGGGGGGGGTGAAATTAGATCTGGATAGCACACTAGTCAGAAATCCTCTCCGCGAACAGATGGGGCGCCCCTTAAAGTAGCTAACAATTCGCTACCAGTGGGCACCATATCTGTTCGACGGCTGCTCCCTAGAGAAAAATCATCTCCTTCCCGC